GAAAGTCTTCAAGTAAAAATTTATCTTGTGAACATAATTTTCTGTATCCATCACGTTTTTTCAGTGTTTTGTACAATTGATTTTACAAGGTCATGAAGAATGTTAAAAACTTTCATTGAAGGAATGTTTGAAATGAAGTTAAACTTCCAGTCAGCTGTTAATAACTGTGTGTTAAGCCACTGTCTAAACAAACTTTTTTTTCTAAAGCATGTTGGCTCACTTTGGGATTTATGTAAACCATAAGTATAAACATAATTGCGAAAAAATTATACAATTTGGAGCTATAATCATTTTGGGAAATCATTTTAAAGTTTTCTATTATTTGTATATTTTTTTCAAACATTTAAATTAATTAAATATTTCGCAAAATCATAAATATCTGCGACGGGAACTTGTTACAAGTTTTGCCTCGTTTTCACAATGTTTTATAAAAGCTTATTGGCTAATGCCACGTAGAAACGAGGTTTTGTAAAAAGTTTCCGTCGCAGATGTTTATGAAAAGTTTTATAAAATTTTAGTTCAAATCTAGAAAATCCAATTTCTAGTTTTAAACTCGATTGTTAACAAAAAGGTCTTCAAAATTGTTGGTGTTTAAAATTAGCTTGGGTCAGGGTCTTTTTAGCTTATACAGGAACTTGAACGCTTTTATAGACTTTACACTGAAAGTTAAACCAAGTTTGATGCTGGAATAACGTTTTTGAATGTCTTTTCATAAAATAGTATATTGAACTCAAATTTATGTGTGCTAATCATCGAGAGTCATAGAAAAATTCATATATTATATTTATTTATTGTATTCAATATATATATTATATTTGCATTATACAAGATTGTTAAATTACTCTGACAAAAGTATACAATATTCAGACTTTTTCGCATTTCGCTTGTTTTCGACTCTACTTTGGTTTTTAGCCAAAATGAAGTTATGTCTCTCCACCTGTCCATAAACCTTTTTAGAAGCTTCAGATGTAAGTTTTACAGCTCTTTCCACCGACTGAGAATTGTTTGGCAAGTCAGTTATAGAAAGTTTATTTCCGGTTTGAATAGCTTGTTTTAATTCATTTGAAGAAACAAAAATTGTAGTGGGAGGTTCAATTTGTATTGAAGAAACTTCAATTAAGTCGGTCCAAACATCAGCATTGAAGTTCAAGGTCATAATTGTCTTAGCTTGGATTTTAGGCTTAAAGTCTGGATTAGTTTCCCTAGATAACCTAATCTCCAAGATTTTATTGAGAGCACGATCTCGTACAACTTTTTCATTGTCTAATAGCATAGCGTAAAGAAAGTTTTCTTGACAGCAGCAATAGGAGTTACCCTGAAGATTTTTCAATACAATCTTTTTAATTCTGTCATCCTGTTTTTTGACTAACTGTATTGTTTTATGGAGAAGCCTTGGTGCATCTTTGTAGTGCGCTGAACTTTTTACAGCAAACCACATTGGACAGTAGACTTAGACTATGTACTTTGTGATGCAGTTTAGATCATGTGTAGGTATCTCAGTTCTTGCATAAATCATCATAATTCTCAAAGCAAGGGTTAGCCAACGTGCATGACAGACAGGACCAGGTTTCTTATTAGCATGCTTCACAGAAATTGAACCTTTAGTTATTCCAATGCAATACTCATAAAGTTTACGCTGGTCTGTACTCAGATCGCAACAATGGCGGGATTTACATAAAACTCTATCTCGGAATCTATAGGAATAAACTGAACCAAAGGTTGTTCATGCATGAATATATTAGACGCTTGTATACCAATAGGACCTTTGTATTTTTTTGGACCATTCGTTTGTCCATCTATTTCAGATATAACATGACGAAGAGGTAACTCACCCTGGTGAAGCAAAAATCCAACTAAATGAATGCTACGATTCAAAAGCTTTTCTAATTTTACAACTAAACCATCATTTACGCCAGTGTTAGAGCTTGTATTGTCAAGAACAATCGCTTCTAAACTTTTAACACTGTTGTATTCAGAAAGCACATTTAATGTTGCTAGAGCCATAGTACCACCTTTACCATTTTCTATTATCACATGTGTGAGATAACTTCCAGAGAATGGATAATTTTCACAAGTAAAAGTGAGATGATGTTCATCATTGGTGGTTCGATAAAAAAAAGGGTCCCCATTGCTCTTGTATTTCATGACATAAACTAATGAATTTTTGTCTTTCTTGCTATCAACACCAATTACCTTTATTTCTAAAACTTTTTGACGATGCGTAGTGTCAATTTTTCACAAAATACCTTATATTCTGTCACTATCTGAGATTTTTTACTCTTACTTACTATTCCGTAGTCAATTAATACAGTTGTTGCTATTGCAGCTGCTGCAGCATCGCTTACTTCGTATCTTATTGCAGCTTTGGCCAAATTAGTTAATTTGGTATAATTTCTTTCACTAAGTATTCGCTCCTCAAACTCTTCACTTTCAGTTGTATCTAAACTTGAAGATTCAGCACTAAAATAAGTCAAATATTCTAAAATTGAACGTATTTAAGTTTAAAGTAAATAGAAAGAATTAACAGTCAAATGATTAGTAATCAATAATAATTTTAACATAACTTCGTAAAAGAGCAGCGATTTTTAAAATGACTTTAGACTATTTTATTTTTCCAAACCTTACATTATTATGAATTTTAACTGTAAATGCCTAATAATATCAACACAAAAATGGCATGAATTACCTTTCTACTTTCCTCACAGAGACAAACTATGTGATTCATTGTGCAATTACTTTTCCGACATCCAATTCGTCTAAACGTATATTATTTTACTTTAAAATCAAAACAATATAGAAACTATTTATTGGATAGGCTTACATCCGTTAGTTTACGGTTGTATGCCTTACTTTAATACCTTAGTAGAAGGCAGAGGGATGGGGTTGTAAATTTTCATTTACCTTTACAAAATCTTTTTCACTTAACATTAAAAAAAAGTTGTAATAAAAAACGTTAAAAAATGTATGTTTACCTATCATGACAATCATCAATAATTGAAAGATCGCACCGGCAAGCAGACACATCAAACAATGTTTCCAGTTTCTTTTCTAGCCACCTTATACTGGACTTATGGTTTTTAGATTGAGTTCGTTCTGCAGACAACACCTTTAGAAATGATCTTGATATTTTATTTTTCAATGGTTTCTCTTTCATCAGAGGTAGATTTGGATTAACCCTACACCAAAGCTGTTGCAAGTCACTATTGACTTTAGTTACGATTGATACAGAGTCAAGTTTCTGTCCATTAAACAATTCTTTCTCAACCTTGTAACCGTATTGAATGACCTGTTTATAATTTGGTAGATCGCTTACGGGTAAATCAGAGGCTTTTCCAGCAAATCTTCCACTATTAATACAAGTTTTGTTTAAAACTTTCACAGGTCGTCCAAGTTTTTTTGAGCTCATGCTAATACGACAATATGAATTTATTATATAACTAAAAAATAAAAGAAGAAACTATTTTTCGATTTAAGTTTCTAAATGAAATATGTTTTAAACTATTTGTTAAAAAACAAATAGCTTACATTTTAGTTTGGTAAACAGATTTTATATCGAACGGAAATCTTCGTAGTTTGCTGTATATTTTATACATTTAAAAAAAACAACCGCATAAAAGTAGAGTTTTATTTACGGACCTTAAGTGACTTCATGTAGAATTTGAAAGTTTTTCTATTGCATTTCCCAAAAAGATTAAACATTTTTTGACTTTTTTTTTTGTGGCAAACGAATAATATATCCACAATACATAAATCTCACACTGAGCCAAGTGTTTTCATATACATGACAGTGGCTTACTGTGTGTTGACATTGTTTTGAAGATTATTTTTAACTTTATTTTTAATGATATTTACCTGAATTTGTATTTTTCTGTTTTGAAAATAAAAATGATTAATTTTTTTTTACTTTTAAAAAAGTTTTTTTTTAATAAAAAAATTGAGTCTTAAGCTGTAGCATTTTCTTCTACTATTACTGGTTCTGGTTCAATCATAAAGTCAATGTTTTTTTTTTTGAAGTTGACACTAAGTAATAAGAAACAAGAACATAGCTGTTTAACAAAAAAATTGTCTTCATTTTGATAAACAAAATATGATATTAGAGTATGTAGTGGAGTTTACATTTGAGTCAGTTTTTACTGTGCTATTTCTATTTAGAGCCACAAAAGAGCAACTTTATGTCTAGAATCGTATCCAAGTTTTTCAGAAGAAAAATAATTTTTTAATGAAGGCTGTTTATCTTTAAAATTGTTGAAGCAAACTTGTGAATTTTTTATAGTCGGAAAAATAAAATAACTGATAAGGTTATGCACATTTCATCTAATTTCTTCTTTTTTACATTTATGTTTTGAGCATATTTTATATTTCCATTTCATAAGTTCATAACTTCTATTTGAACAACCTTTTACGACACAATGATTTGCAATTGCACCAATTATTAAAATTAATGCAAGAATTATAAAAGTTAAAACTCAAAAAGTTTTAATTTAAAAATTGTTATTTCAATTTAAAAAACCATCTTCTATGCGAAAAATAACTTGACTCTTTCATAAAATGTACCATTTTTAATGTTTGTTTACTTGAAATTTTTTTGTTACAACTTTCAAAAACCGTGTATAATGGTTAAAAATTTGCAGCATATCCTTGAATAATTCATTTTTTAATGTTCTAATAAAGATCATTTCAGTGAATTTTTGTTGTTTTTATCCAGTGAAACTTGTTTTTTTATTTTTATTGTCATTTACAAGCATTCCCAAGACGACTTGAAATTGCTTTGATGTTTGCGGCTCGATGAACTTCCATATGTTTTATACTTCCATGGTTAAATATAATTCGGTATTACTATTTTTACCTTTTTAATATCTTGAATTCATACACGAAAAATGTTTCATAACATTTAAAGATTTCCACGCACTTTTATTACAATTTGTAATTAAATTTGGCTTAGACTTGCATAATAATGAGATATTATCAAACACATTAAAAAAAAAATTTGCTTTTCTCGTCCCAAACTATTTTTTAAAAACTATTTTTTAAATTTTTAATATAAAAACTATTTTTTATTTTACTAATTTTTAATTTATTTTTGTAGTATTTCAGTCTGATTAGTTCAGAGCGCCATCAGACATAAAATACCATGAAAATATTACAAAAAACGTATATATGTATAATAAAAAACGCCGTTAAATAAGACATAAAGATGAACTGGAGGAGCTGGAGGTGAAAACTATTTTTGACATATCAATGGTTTTTTTTTAAAAAGAGGTCTCTAATTATTTGTTGTAACTTTAACAACAGTTCAAAAGTGGTTGAAAGCATTTCATCTAATGATTCGTGTGTGCGTAGTTGATCTCAAATGATCCTCTTGTTTTTCTTTTACGGTAAAATAAATTGCAATTGTTTTGGTTAAATATATCGTATAATAAATCCAGTCAAATATATCGTGGCAATCATTGCAGTGTTCTGTGGCTCCAAAAGAATGCTAATCGTTTTTCATGCTGTTTATATGATACCAAATCACTTCAAAGGTTCAAATAAACATGTAAGTTAATACACACCCGAATTGCTATTTGGTTATAAAATTGATTTATTATTAAATAAAATTATTTTTATGTAATAATAAAAACCGTTAGAACCTTAAATAAGTTCAAACAAACATATAAAAAAGGTAACAACAATTAAACTTCCACAAATTTCCAAAGTATATATTATATAATCAAAAGAGAGATCACACGGATCTACTCACCAATATTTTATATAAATGTATACGTACCAAATTATTACAAAATTGTTTAGTAAAAAGTATAAAAATCAAAAAAAGTAAGAATAAAGTTATTATAAATATAAATAAGTAAAGGCAAAGTTATTAATTTATATTGTTAAAAATAACATATGTCATCTAATGAAAAAATTAGAGTTTTTAATTTACTTTTAAAAAGGCGAAATGTAATGGGTAGTTCAAAATCAAAATTCGGCAAAACAATTTTATTCCAAAGTTGTGGTGACGATAGGCAATACAAAATTGATTAAAGTTCGTTTGACAAAAAAGTTCATTTAAAAAATCAGTATTTCTCAAATCGTATTTGTTGATAGGTTTTAAGTATCAAAGGCTAATTTAATAAGTAAATTAATAAATAATTGTAATAAATGATATAAGTAGTAATGTAATATAATTATAGTAGTAATAACAAAATAAATAGTAATAATAAGACAAATGAGTAAAATAATTGTAATAATACCTTTTCATAAAAAATACTTTTTTTTGAAAAGTATTAATACAATTAATACAATTAGACAATTGAACTTTAGCATTTCTCATAACATTTTCTCATATATATTTCAATAAAATTATTTAAACATAAACTTTCACCTTTCAATAAAAATAGTAAAACTTAAGCTTTCATCTTTCAATAATAATAACTTCAATAAAAACATAAACTTTAAACATTGCAAAAAAAAAAAAAAAAAATTTGAAAAGATATATGTAGTATATTCTCCTGAACAATGTGAAAAATATTCAATTAAAAAAATCCTATCAGCGGAATCATTAGAGTTGAAATACATGTTATGTGGTAAAAATTTTGATCTTCATAAGAAAAACTTGTAGCAACAGCTATAAGGGAGATTAATTATATATAAAAATCTTGACATAACAAAGTTAAATGATTGGAAGTTTTATGTGATATATAAATATATTGGGTCATAGGACATATGTCCTAATGACCCAAGATTATTCTAGTTTTTTTTTTTTTTTTTTTTTAAATTGAAGCTAACAATAAAACAAGTTTAAAATTTCATTTACTTGATCTTACCATTTTTTTAATGCTTTTTCGCATATCTTTCAGCCATCTTGAAAGTAATAATCAATTCTTGTAAGACATTTTCCGGCAAAGTAGTATGAATGTTAAGCAATTTGTATTTCACATCATAGCATGACAAATTTTTGATATTATAATGATGTCATAGTATGAGTTTATAAATCAAAACTTACTATTTGGACATTAAAAGAGAAAAACTTGACTTTTACTGTGCTTTATAACTAATATATGAAATTCTGCTATAAATTGAGTTTTTTTTCACAAAGTCATGATATCACTATGATATCATTATATGATATCAAAGCTTGAGAAGGTTTTGATATCATACTGATATAACATTGACTGGGAAGTCTTTGTGATATCATAGGTCCATCATAGCTTTCTCATTATATCCATACCTGGTTACTGTTTTACTAGGAAGTAATTTAAGTAATAAAATTAACGAGTAAATTAGTTGTTTTTGATGACTTATTTTTACGAATATGTTATGTTTGGTTCCTACTTAGCTATTAATTAAAATATGTTTTTGCTGTTACACCTTAAATTGAGTTCCATGCATCTAAAATTCTGTTAAAAAGGAAAAGCTCTTTTTTATTAAGAGGGAACATTTCTTTTTTAACATAATTGCCAATTTAGGAGTCATCTTTAACATAAGCGCAGCTGTAAGAGTCCTAAAGCAATCCCCTCTTAAATTGTTTTATTAAGTGGAAAAGGTTTTTCAATATTTATTTTTTCAATGTCAAGCATAAGTTTGTATAATTAGAATAAATCTCTCTCTTTTTCATTCTCAAAGTTAACAAGCCTATAGCAATCAATTTATTTGAATGTTTATTTGAACAAACTTTTTACAAAGCATTCATAACAATAATTAAATCAGTGAAGTTTTTAAACATAAATCATTTAAGAAGTTTCAAAAGTAGAAGGAAAGCACAAATCAATTAGCTATGCTTGTAGAAAGACTTTTAAGTTAGCATAAATAACAGTGTTGTTAGTCCTTAGTCTTGGCCTTGGCCAGGCCTTAAGGCTAAAAATTTAGTTAATAAAAAAAAGAAATCAAGTTTTCAAATAGATAGAGAATGAGAATTAGTCACACCACGTACATACTTGGTGTCTTTAACCCCTTACTCTCTCTCTCTCTTGTACGCATTCATAAGTTTATGGATAAACTCCTGCCCCCATACCTGCATCTATACTTAATAGAAGATCCCTAATAGCAAATTACATTATCTCTTTATAATAATACTGGACTTAATAGTAGTAGTAGTGCGCTTTCGAGCCTGTTTGACACGATACTCTTGGCAACCATTGCATCCGAGGTAGTGACGAGAAAGAGTCTTACCTTTGCTTTATAAGAAAACGCGAGCAAACGTGAAACTCATATTGTACGTACATAAACTTCATGTTATGTAATGTTAAAACATGCTTAAACATATATCAAGTTCAACAGTTTGATTTTCACTTAAGAACTGCATTTCGTCAACCTTTGCTTAATTTCTAATCTTTTGTGTTTTTATCCGTTAAAAAACAATTTTTATATAATTTGAAATCTTCATGATACTACGTGACAGCGCAGTAAAGTGGTTAGCGCGCTGGCTTTCTGACCAAGTTAGCCCTGGTTCAA